CCCCCCAAGCCCAGGAAGTTTCTTTTGGGTTGAATCTAGTAGTTTTGGTTCCACTCGAGCCATTTCTTTACCCTCCCTCATTTATACTGTCAGGTCCAAATGATGGCCAGATACTCATTCCCCGACCCAGTCCTCGGATGGAAAGGTGGCGTAGCATGGGGAGGCTCAAATGGGGACCTTGCAGGGAGCGTCCTTCGCTCAGCAGAATCATCCAACCCAAGTGGCTGAAGAACAATCTGCTAAGGCGTGTTTGTTCTCTCCCTTTGCTAAGTCAAGGCCTGGGGCCCAGGCTCCAACTGCAGTTCAAGATTCCAACTCCTATTCAGGGCTCGACAAACTATGTCACCTACTCGCCATGGCGAGTAGATTACAACCCAGAAGACGGGTTCGGACGATCTGCGCATGCCACGTCTCGGCGAGCCCTGCCAATAACCTGAAGCTGGGTATGCCCCTCAGAACACAGCCGTGCCACAACTTTACCCGCAGGAGGGAGTACACCGAAAGCTACGTTCTGGGCCTGGCCTCCCAACAGCCACTTCCAATAGTCCCAAGGTTTCCCTGTACAATTTTGTGCCTCTTTAGTTAGATGCTCCCCCTCCCACTAGACATCCATTTTTTCCCTGGTCCCTAAGGAAAGTTGCACTATGTGTAAGGGCTTACTTACTTTTTCCTGAAAACACCTTGACAGAAGCTGGCCTCTTTGCTCCCAGCTCATCACAAATCTGATGGGAAGACAGACAAGTGTTCAGAGATAGCAGCACATCAAGTAAAATGTAATTACAACTCGCCTCTAAACCAAACTTCATCCAGTCTGGTAGGGTGCACACTTATCACTAGCCTAGCACAATGGGGTCTAAATCCACAAATGTGCCCTTAGTGCTGTGCTATAGACAAATAATTAGTTGGAGTACACAGAAGGGTATTAGACACTTTGGTTGCTCATTACAGCAGGTGTATCAGAATGCTCTCATTCAAAATTGACAAGAGTTTTTCCAGTTAAGAAAGGTTCCATGGAATGGCTTGGGCACCGTATCAAAAACGAAGTCTTATCAAACCACCGCCTATTGTACGGGAATGTTATGCTTTTTTAAACACCACACACATCCTAAAGGTCTGGGGGAAACTTTCAGTTTGCAGCATAACCCCACACGTTGTGCCTTACAAAACAGACCAAGTAAGAGAAAACATGAGAAAGGCTTCTGCATGGGGCATGCACACTAGGGTCGAATGCCAGTCACTATATTAACCCTTGACCATCAAGACACTTTCGTTTGGCGGGGGGGGGAACCAGGGAAGAGATGGGAAGAGACCTCGAGCATGTCATAATGCCTCAGTGGAAAAGGGGCACCCCGAAAAAGAAACAGGAATAGCTACATTCTAGATCTACTACTTGCCAAGTTCATTACTACGAAATGTATCCGTTCCAACAGAACCCAGTGGGGGTCTTCGAGGCGGAGACCTACACTAGGCTAGGAGCTGTATGCAAAAGGCATGAGAGCCAGAAATCGCCATACAGCTACCTGTCGCCTGACCACGCCTACCTCATAAAAGTTGTCTTCCGTCACCTCCAGCGGCGCATTGAAGAAGTGAAGCACATTGCTGGGGTGCTGGATCCTGTTCTTTGCGGCCTGCTCTGGGGTTGAAAACCTGTTATTCCGAGAGCCACTGAAGTCCTTGTAGCTGCATGAGCCATCCTCTAGCCCATAGGACTGGCCAGGCATGATGGCCTGCTGTTTGGATACACTGCAAGACGAGAAGCGCAAAGCTTGTTACTAACATGCAGTTTCCTGCCGGGGACAGACAGGCCCCCTGCCCCCCCCCCCCAAGATCTCACAAGAAAGCAAGACCACAAAGCATCTCGAGAGACCCACCACACATTCAGTTTCTGTCCAAACATGAAGCTGTTGTTGAGGTGAGTGATTGCTCGATCCACAGCATAACCATCTGCCATCTCCACCATGGCTGCGCCCGGCTTGCTCTTCATGAACTTCACCTAAGACACAACATACCCTTGATGTGAGCACCAGATATTTATTTTCATGAAGAGAAACACTGGAAGGTAAATTCTTTCAACATCGGTTTGAAAGAGGTGGGTGAAAAACTCCCTTTTATTAGACCAAATTCTACTGGTGAAACAGACAAGCTTTCAGAGTTCCTCATGTCCATGTAAGTCAACACTTGGTCCCTTTCACCAATAGAAGCTGGTCCAATAAAAAGATATGAAGTCACCCGCTTTGTCATATGTTAGGCCACACACAGCTACAACACTGCAGACCGCCCGGCTTTTACACATTTGAACTGCTTCAGACAGATCCAGGTCACAGCCAGGCTTCCAGCTTTGCTTTCTAGTTGACTTCATTGGAGTTTAGTGGATTGCTTCCTCCTTCCATTCCTTCGCCACCCCGTCCCCAGCACTGTGAAGACCCAAACTCATCAACAATCACTGCACTCCCGCAGCCTTGTCCCCAAGGCAGAGAATAGTTTCAGATTGCAAGCAGTCTCTGGCAGGCTAGCTGCAAGTCATCACACCCCAGCAGACCAGATTTGCACCGGGCTCAAGCAGAGATGATGGGACACGAGAAAGAAGTCGTGCTGCACAATTTCAAAGCCAAACCCAGCAGACTTGGACGGCAGCAAGTCCCAAGCCCAGGACCCTGAACTCTGCCAGGCACACGACACAAGGCCACAAGGAGCCATTCACTGCTCCTCTCACCTTCTCCACATTTCCATAGAGGCAGAAGACATTGAAGACCCTGTCGCAGTTCATCTTGGACTGGTCTAAGCCGTACACCATCAGCACAGGGCTGTCAGCATGCGGCCCATACTCAGGGGGCGGAGGTGGGGGAGGAGGATGTCCATACTGAGGGCCATAGCGACTTGGGCCCCTGCGGTGGCCACCAACAGGCGGTCCCATCCTTCTCCCTTCGTAGTGAGGCGGAGGAGGGCCGTAACCCTCATCATGGTAATGACTGTGGTATCCACCGTGAGGCCCTCCTGTGGAGACACCCGGATCAGAGCCATTCATATTAAGGCAAGACACTCCCACGGACACCCCCGCCACGCCAGATCCATACCATACTCTGCAGGATGGTCCCCGAGGAGAGGGGGCTGCCTCTGACGCTTGTTCGGGTTACCGCCAGGATCCCCTGGAGAAAGAAAGGGGAGTTAAGAACTCAACCAGAGAGGGACAATGCCACAATAGGTTATATGCCTGGGTTTACCTGGACGGACCAAGTCCTTGTCCTAATTCCTTTAAATCACATTGTAACCCCCAGCTGCCCACAAGGTTTGCACCATTTTCTAGCCAGCAACTGCCTCCAACATTTTAAGATTTGTCTGGCAGGGGAGATTCAAGGCCCCTGTTCCACAGGATCTCCATTTCACCTAAGGCCGGCATTACAAGTGACACTCCTCAAAGGCCAAGGAGGGGTAGATGCAGCTCCCTCCAGAGCTTCCCAACCCGGCTCCTAGCATGGACCACGTGAGATCCCAGCCACGGAACTACAGTGTGACACACTGCTCTAGGCTAACAGGCCAGACTGGCCTATTTGAGTAAGACGTTAGTTTTGTAGGACACACAACTGCATTTTCATTTGTTAGAACTACTGCCACTGTCACAATTCCAACTCCTATTTCGGAACCTACACACAGACAAGTTACAGCATCTTGTAATGCAACCTGTGTCAAATACAGGACTTCCCAGCTTCACCTGACTAGAGAGCTGGGCACGTTTCAGAGCTGATTCAGCAGACATGCCTGACAAGGGAGAGAAACACAAGGACGAGTGTCCCAGGTGACTGTGTGACAGAAACAATACTGAAGTACTCCTGCCTCCAGGACACTGCTAGTTCTTAATAGCAATGGAAAAAACAAAACAAAACATGGCAAAGTATCTCCCGCCCAAACAGAGGAAGAGGGAGTGACTTATACAAGCATGGTAGCAAAGCAACAGCAGTCATAGGTTAAAATGAGCCATCATATACAATGCGTAACATTCATGTAACTGTACAGTTTGTTTTAAACACAACTGAGTTTCATACAGGTTTATTCCAACAATCAGTCATTACAAAGATTGAAAAGGGCTACTTACAGCAGGAGTACACAGTACAATGTCCATTGTCACATAAAAAGTCTGTATTTCTCTTACCATTGGACGCTTCAACAGTGAGTTAGCACAGTTCTGAAAGATGGCGTCCCATCAAACATACACTGCGACCCTGCATCATATGGTTTCAGAGTCATAAATACAAGTCAAAGGCACAAAACTGCTACAAAATTTTTTTTAAGTAAAATCTTTAAAAGGTCTCACAGATGTTTTGTCCTCGGAAGGAACCAAGAAAGAGGACATAAAGGTGTATAAATGAGAGTGTTCCTTCCATGTTTCATCTCCTGAACTTGTGTAGTGCTGTAACAAAATGGTGCTTCTGGCTCTGTGTAGTTCTCCAGTGTGCGTGTCTCCTCTGTTATGGAATGTGCCTTGGGTCAAGTGCCCCGTTATGCACGCGTGCACCAGACTGCACCCCAGCTACAGCCTCTTAGGGATCTGTGTGCCTTTGGTTTGGTTTTTGTTTGTCTCCACTTGGCGCTGATATGTTGGCAGCTGAGGACTGCGGGAAAGCAGTATAACCAAAAGAACTGCCCTCCCAAACCAAACCATGTTGATATGGAGAGCATCCTATGTCTTGGATGGCCACTGAGATCTATTCCATTCTCCGAAATGCGCTGGTGGACTTGTTTTGAGAACCCTCTGTTCTGTGTTTCCTAGTTCTGTGTACATTCTTGGGTTCAGAGTTTGTTAGGCTTTGATTAGTAAGAATAATGTCTGCTGTGGCATGTTGCGTCTTTTTTTCCTCTCTCTCTGTCTCTCTCTCTCTCTCTGTGCTTGTAGATGTTTCTTGGACCACGGTGTTGTGTTCTTGATGTAATGAGCTCAATCTGCTGCTGTTTCTGGTACGTAAGGATGATGCGTGTTTTCTCCAGGAAGAGCTAGTGAGGTTCCTACACTGTGTGGTGTGAGGAATGTGCAGAGGCAGGCCGCGGCCAATTCGGGACGTCCACTGTAGTACGGTCCCCCAGGGTTATATATATAAACTGCTCAGAGCTGGGAAAGGCCAGGTTAATACACCACCCTCATTTCCCAGCCTCATCTCAGGCAAGCCAAGATGCATCTAAAGAAATGCACAGCCCTGCAACTAGCCCCTGCAGCTCTGCACATCTAGTTATGTACCTTGGAGGAGAAATTTGTTTCTGTTTTGTTAGGTCATGTAATGCCATTGCTTGCTTCAGCATATTAATACGTTTTCAGCTTTTAAAAACAGGGGTGTCCACCACATGGGAGCTGCTCCGGTCTCCAGGCATTTACTCAGCACCCCTCGAAGAGCGCACTTTTGATCATGCAATGAGGGAGAATGGCCTGTGGAGGCAACAATGGAGCATGGCAGGTGTCCCAAGTAGCCTCTCCCAGATTCCTTAAAGGGGAAAAAAGGAACCTCTCTGAAGGGAGCACACCCCCAGTTCTGGAGAGATCCTCTAAACTCGTATCAGCTGGGGCCACAAATAGCTCCACACCCTGGTTTTAAAACACGAAGCAAGACAATATTGCCCAACAGATTGTACCATTTCAAGAAATACAGGGAAACACACCAGATACAATCACTTCAACTGATGCACGAGTTGCTCGAACAGTAACTCAGTCCCAGCTGTTTATTTCACACTCCTCTGCACAGTAGGCAGAAGTTTCAAAAACCCCAAGCATGGGGTTTCCAGAGACCTTTGACCGAAACGGTAAGTCTGAAGCAGGCATCTATGGCTGCGATCTGAACACACACGCCTGTTCAGCATCACACAGATTCTATGTAATTTGTCCCTGAATGCTTCCAAAGAGGGGAGCAGTCAGTCACTAGTTTTACAGATTTCTGTACGTCCCTCTATGTTCGTTACATTTGTGTAAAACGTTCACCCACATGCCCATACCTATAACCCAGCCCCACATTCCACTACCCTTGAGCTGAGAGACCTATCCACCAGCTCAAGGGGAATTTTCTTGTTACTTTCCAGCATAATGAAGAAACTAGCGATTGTAATGCAGCTCAGCATTCAAAGTCATGCACAAAAGGCCTGCAGTTGTATCAGGTGACAAGCTGTAAATTTCCCATGTAAGAAAGCAATGGCATTTAAGCCCTCACTTGCCCCCGAAGACTGTCCTTGCCCCAAAACACCTTAAAACCACTTATGCATGAGGTTCCTTTATTCCTAACATTTAACTGATGCAGTCAGGCAGCAAATACATAGTATAAGCCACCCATGAGTCCCCGGTAACAAACATTTGATTTTAAGATAACCGAACCACCACTCTTCCCCGTTTTGCATCGGCCTACACCATGTGTCAATTTAGATACAGTTGTAACAGAAATTAGGAGGCAGACCAATGGCATTACATAACATGAGTCAGCTATAAAGTGCGCGAGTCAACCGACAAGCAAAGTTTGTGTATAGTTACAAAGCTGTCCATCAAGGTTACCTTGTCCACTGAGATTGGGGTTTGTATAATCCCAGGTGTCCTGATCGTTCTTGAACACATTCAAACGTGTAGGCTGCAAAAACAACCACTCGATCATTACTTCATTTCACACAGTGAGAGTTCTAGGTCGGACAGAACAACTGTGAAACCTACATGAGGCAGCTAGGATACAGCACCTTCTGCTCCAGGATCACAAAGCAATCCCTCACTAACTAAACCTGCCTGCTTCTTCACCAGTTAGAGAATTAGTCCCATTTTACAAAGATGGGTAAGTGACTTGCTCAGGATCACCAGGAAATCAATGGTGGTACCCCTTACAGAACCCATGAGTCCTTGCTCGCATTCCCCTTTTCTAACCACTAGAAGAAAACTCTTCCAACAATGTGAAGAGAATGCAGCACTCCTAAATTTCCTGACCTAACATTGTCTTCCTGTTTATTTTTACATTCACACAGAGGTACAAATCTGTATTTCTGATGGGGGGAGGAATTGTGAAAAAAGTGTGAGCCTGAGTTATGCTTTCTTTCACAGCAGATACATAGTTTTGTACAGATTCATTCTGCATTCAATCCAACATCTCGATAAGCACAACTTAACAAGTAGCTATCCATGTTTTCAGTCACTTACCTTGGCATATTCAATCTTTAGAGTGCAACACCCAGAATAAATATCTGCCCCATTCAAAGATGCCTTGGCCCTCTGCGCACTCTGCACAGAGTCAAACGTTTTGAACATTAAGGAAATGTTTAGAGTATTTAGCACATTCAGTACAGAGTTGTGCATAGCAATTCTTTAGGAGCAGGACAATTATGAGGAGATCCTATAGTGCGCAGGATGCTACGGTCTGCTTCCTGCTCCTCCTCCTGCAGTTAAAAAGGCTCCACATAATAATTTGTGCTTCTATAACCCTAAAAACCACACAACCCTACCTGGAGTGTAACTGTGGCAGCTGGATTGTGAGAGTTCTAGGATTCCCTCTTTACAAAGTAGGTAGTCACTAGCAGAAGTGCAAGCACATTCTTGCTCTCAGCTCCATGCTGCAATCACAAAGCCTCACCCACAATAACTGAGTTTTGCTATTCTCAGTTAAGCATCTTTTGTTAAGGACGTGGAAAATGCAAGACCCTCATACCTCTATTCAAAGTAACTTCTCCTGGGAGCATAAGCATTCTCACAAAAAAAAATGACTGGAGCGAAAGGGTTTTTTATGTTCTAAACTCAGCACACTTCAACGGTTTAGTCTGAACCCAACACTTGGTGTTGAGATCAACTCGGGAAGGATAAAACAGAAATAAACACTGAAGAGCACAAGTAGTCTTAAAGGGCAGGTCTACAACTACAGAGAAGATCGAAGCTGCCACTTTTGATCTTCCAGGGTTTGAATTAACGGGTCTAGTGAAAACACGCTAATTCGAGCTGAGAGGGGCACTCTGGTTGAGGCCAGCAGTCCTGCTTCCACAAGGAGTAAGGGAAGTCAAAGGGAGAGTGTTCTCCCTTCAGCTTCCTGCAGTGTGGACAGCGCCAAAAGTCGAATTAAGGTACTTTGACTTCAGCTACGCAATTAACATAGCTGAAGTTGTGTATCTTAATTTGACTGTATCCCATTGTGTAGACACACCCAAACAGCAAAAAAGGATATTCCACCATAGCCTGGACCCCATTCTTCCTGAAGATAACAATCCTTTGCACAGGACCACACGGGTTGCAGATGGTATACAGCACATCCTGTGGAAGGAAGAGACAAACGAATATTGGAATCACATTAAGAACTTAATTGATATTGCACTAATGGCCCAGCCTTTCAGTTCTAGAAAGCAGTCTGCAGCGGACCTTGCTATAAGCCTCAGCACAAGATGTGGATACAATTGACTGACTGCATTTAAAAGCATTAGGATAGCAAGATCACCGCAACTGAGGGCTGAGGTTTTACTGCTAAATAATTTGCATAGCACACATGGATATTCTGCATGGCTACCTACTCACTTTCCTTCATCCAAAGCTACAATTTTAGTTTCTCACTTTGATTCGGGGTAATTATTCCCCTGCATTTGCCTTTAGAATAACCTATTTCACCCTGTTAGGTGGGCTTGCACAAACTAACTCAGCTATTTAGAACAAGACCACAAACAGATGCAAAACGTAGTATGTCTCAAACTTCCTCTTGCACTGATATATACAACCAAGTTCTTGAGCCATTATGCAGTCTGCAGGGAGGGACACAGACTGCCCCAGGGTTAGAGAGGTTAAGTCTGCCCCACTAAAGGAACCTGGAATTAGAACCCCCACGCACCGTTGTAATCGAATAGATGGGGTTCAGAATGGTGAAGAGTAGCACATTGTTGACCCCCCTTGAATCATCTGTGTCTCCAGGACGGGATATTTTCTGGCTGGTGGAATAGTTGACAAATGCAGGGTGCCCTGCTATGTAGATCTGGTTGTCTGCTGCATAGTTCACAGCATTGCAGGCGCCGAGAATATCCTCAAACTCCACCAGGGCCTGTCTCTTCTTAGGCATCACCACCACATAACTAGGAAGGAGAGAACTTAAGTTAACCTCAAACATACAGCAAATGGAGAGCAGGTTAACAAACTTTTAAGTATATTATTCACTATTGTTTTCAGCATCTAGCTCAAATTAATGCAAGAATAAATGTGAAAGCTGATAACTGAATCACATGTGGATCCAAATTTTCTGCTTGACTAATACATTTGCATTACCTGATGGGCCCAAACTCCTGCAGGGCCTCCACAAGATCAGCTTCCACAACACCATCAATCAGCCCCCGGATATGGACAACTGGAGAAGCAGGAGTTTTGTGGGGATCATCATAGTTTTCCTAGAGAGACAAAACAAAGACATATTTTAAAAGATGTTTTACACTCTGTAACTAAAGCTCATTATAGTTTTAACGAGCATTAGCTCATGGACATTAGGCTAACAACTGAAACACTCCCTTTCTGTCTGTCAAGATTTGGGGAGACTGACCCTGCAGAGACCAGATTGCTGGAGGCCTAAATAGGCTGAGACCCCCGGGTCTTGTAGCAGCGCCACTTGAGAGTCAGTGAAAGATACTCCCAGAATGCTGAAGATCAGCCCCAAGAACCCCTACATGGCAGAAAAACGTCATGACTTTGCCCTGAAGATGATGCCAAGCACTGAACCCTCAATACACTGAGTGAATCTTTTATTCCCCTCTATGTAACGCTACACATAGACCTGCAGAGCAGGCATGCTGGGGGGAGAGTCTGGACTTGACCCCAAGTGCTGCCAGGCACCAAGATCACTATCAATTTCCCCTGCAGGCCTCCTACCATGGGTGGATCTGGTCTTTGTTCTATGGACACTGCCAAGCACAGTGGATACAAACCCAAGGCAGAAAAGGATGGGGAGGGACAAAGTCCCCATCCTGGCCCTGGACATCCACCATCCCCCATCTGCAGGCCCCCCAACTCACTGCCCACCGGGGCCAGCCCCTTTCCGCAATTACCCTGCACTCCACCTTCCCCCAAGTGCCCTGCCAGATCCCAACAGCCCACCTCCCCTCGCCCCCAGCTCCAGCCCCGGG